CTTCCACTATACCTAATGTTTCTGGGGCTCGTTGGTTTGTATCCTTAATTGATGATTGCACCCGGGTTACATAGCTCTTCCTTCTTAAACAAAAATCTGATGTTAGCACTGTTATACCTAATTTTCATTCAATGGTTCAAAATCAATTTGGGGTCAAAATAAAAGGTGTTAAGACAGACAATGCTAGAGACTACTTCAATCAAATTCTATCACCTTATTTTCAATCACAGGGGATTATCCATGACTCATCATGTGTGGACACACCCCAACAAAATGGGGTAGCTGAAAGAAAGAATGGGCATTTACTCAACACCACCCGAGCCTTACTATTTCAAGGAAATGTTCCTAAGTCCTATTGGGGAGAAGTCGTTCTTACTGCCACATATATGATCAATAGACTTCCCTCCCGTGTGTTTGAAAACAAAAGCCCGATAAAGGTCCTAAATAGCTTCTACCCTCACTTCAGAACCTCAAATGGCCTCACTCCCAGGGTATTTGGGTGTACTGCCTTTGTTCATATCCACAAACAACATAGAGGGAAGCTAGATCCCAGAGCCATCAAATGTGTTTTCCTGGGTTACTCATCCACTCAAAAGGGATATAAATGTTACAACCCCTCTACCAGAAAATTTTACATATCTGCAGATGTCACTTTCACAGAAAATAAACCCTTTTTTTTCAAGTCCTCTTCAGGGGAAGATTTCCATGATGGAAGATAGTACTTGTGAGCCCTTTGAACCACTTAAAACTCTTGACCTTCCACATGTGTCAGCCCATGTTATTGAACCTGAATCAAACTCTCCTCCAGTTCCAGCTGAACCCGAGTCCTCTGAGGTGACATTTGTGAATTGACAAAACATACCCGTGTATATTTTCCTATTAGCAATAAAAGAAGTTTTCATCTTTTTCATCTGATTCATAGTGACATATGGAGTCCTTCCACTATACCTAATGTTTCTGAGGCTCGTTGGTTTGTATCCTTAATTGATGATTGCACCCGGGTTACATAGCTCTTCCTTCTTAAACAAAAATCTGATGTTAGCAC